GTAGCTGCACTCTATTCTAGGAAACACTTCCTGAATGGCTGGTCCCACAGACACCCACAGCACTGCCTGGGATTCCAGTTCTCTGCATCTTTACCAGTATTTGTTGCTATTTTTCTTTTTAATTTTTGCCAACCTGAAGAGCTTAAATGATTAGCTCATTAAAAAAAAAACACACTTTACACTGTCTGATGATTAATAAGGGCAAAACCATGAATAATTCTTATGCTACAGCAGACTACAAAATTGGGGGAAATATTTTTGCCAAGGACACACCACTTCATTTTCATCTTTAAATCTTTGATGTGTGTTTTAAAATTGCACATTTTGGGAGACCAAGCTTGATTGTTTCTGCCGCTAGAGGTCACTGTCCCTCAGTGGTTCTCCACCAGTGTGAATTTTCTCTACACACACACACACACACACACACACACACACGCGCGCGCGCGCGCGCCTACCCCCCAGGCCTCCACCCCCCCTGGAATATTTGCAATGACATGCCCACAATGTGGGTATGGTGCTGGCGCCTAGATGTTAGAGACCATAGACCGGGGATTCTGCTACAACCCTGCAGTGCAGAGGAGAGCACCCAACAAACAGCAAAGAATTATCTGACCCCAAATGATAACAGTGCTAAGGTGGAGAAACTGTGGTGTGCAAGATATCCTATTATATGAATCTTTGAAAGAAAGATTATGACAATCTCCATAACAATAATGATGCCTATAATTAACATTTAAGATAAGAACAAACTTTTAAGTATACAAACTGGGCAAAGAGTGGAGAAAGACACCTTCCTGATAAGTGTGTTCCTGGGAAAAGGCAGGAGGAGTGAGTGGGTGGGTGGGAGGAAGGCAAATATTTTATTGTAGCAGTGGTTCTACATGTGGGTGCTACCAGCTAAGGAAAGGGTGTCTGGGGCTTGGTAGACCTGACAGCTGGCATAGTGGGAGGTGACCTGATGGTGTCTATGAGTCATGCTAGGGAAGAGTAGGGCCCACCAGGGTAGAAGAACTGTGGGTTTGAGCCTTAGGAGTTGGTGGTGGCAGGGTCTTGACTAATGGGACACAAGGGTGACCACAGGCTTCCAGTTCTCCAGCTGAGGCTGTGACTGTGACTGTGTGGCCTGGGCTGGTGGTGTCCTTGCATGAATGAGGGTGGGTGACAGACAATAAGGGCTTAGGGGAGGTGGTGATGGTGTCCTCCTTTCGACCCTGTTGCACCGGGAGCAGAGTCCCAATTCTGGGTACAAGGGAAAGGATAACTCTGTTTCTCCATACGGGCTTGAAGGCAGATGGCCTATCTTCTAGGCTCGGCCTCCTCTTGGTATCCAGGGTCTCAAACCAGAGTGGTCCATCGAACTTACTTTTTCTTTCTTGCATTGGCTTAGAGGCCTCAGTACGGTCTCCTTGGCACAGAGTTGAGGGTGCTCTTGGGTGGGTGGATACATATATATGAGTAGAAGGAGGCACATTTCCAATTTACGGTTGGAAAGCAGGTAACTGCAAAACAGTTCAAAGGTTTATGGTAAACTGGTCGTAGTGCTTCAGTTTGGAGGTCTGTTACAGATCTAGTCCCAATACTGGAGTGGGAGAGGGACAGAAATAGTGGCCATCAGAGCAACTATTGGATCAAAAGTGGCAATGGATGTATCTGGATCTGAGAAGCTTCTGTGGTTCAGAGAGGCCAAGTGTTTAGGAGGCAGGAGTGCTGTCAGCTAACAGGTGATGGAGAATGAAGTGTTCCTAAAGCTCTCTACTAAGTAATTCTTCTTGATTTTATTTTTTTGGTAGATTCCTTATTTAAGGAATGGTCCTCAAGTATAATATTTTGAAACAAAAGAAATTTCCTATATAGTTTTATTCTTGCAAATGACTTTTCATTTATAGCTAAGATATCTCTTAAGATGGCAGTAACACCAGAGTGGATGGTCTAATGAAATTTGGTATAATTTGCTTACAATGTTTTTCTTTTTCTTCCCATCATTTGCAGAATTTCCCATGTCCTACTTTGCAATGTAACCCAGCGGGTGTCATTCTGGTTTGTGGTTACAGATCCTACAAAAAACCACACACTTCCTGCTGATGAGATACAGTCAGCCATAAGGTAATCACTGCAAAATATGCCTTCTACCATTGCTGATTGTTGATTAATTCAACTCTTTTCATACATAGTAAAGAATTTTCTGTCTGCTTCACAATATTTATTTATTAATATGTCAAAGATTTTATGTTGTTAGTTTGTATTAGAGATTGTAGATCAGTGGTTCTCATCCGGGGTAATTTTGCCTCCAAGGACACATTTGGCAATGTTTCCAAACAGTTTTGCTTTCACAGTTGGGGTCAGGGGGAAAGTTGCCACCAGATAGGATTTGGGGATGATGCTAAAAAACAAACTGTGCCCAGGACAGCACCTCACAACAAAGAATTATTCGACCCCAAATATCAATCATGCTGTGGTTGAGAGACCTTGGTTTAAATATTAGCTGAGAATGTTTAGTACCGTCTTATTTTAGCCAGAACACCTTGTACAGCACTATTGTGTGATGGTTCATCACATGAATTCTGGAGGCCAAATGCTTAGGTTATTAATTCTGGTTTTACCTCTTGCTAATTTTTTGAATATAGACAAATTACTTTTCCTATTTTGCTTTCCTCTTATCATTTATAAAATGAGGATAATGATAGTACCCCTCTTTCAGAGTTGTCGATAAGATTAAATGTAATGTGTATTGAGGGACAAGTCATACCTCCGACTTTCATTTAAAAACCATAAAAATACTGAGATTTCTTGGGTCTCTAAAAACTTACCCTCCTTAGTCAGTGTACAGTCTTTACCTTTAAAAGATACATTTTAATGTTATTTTTAATTTTTCAATTACAGTTTACATTCAATATTATTTTGTATTTGTTTCAAGTGTGCAGCATTTCAGGTTAGACAATCATATAGTTTACAAAGGGTTCCCCCCTGTGTTTCCAGTACCTACCTAGCACCATACATAGTTATTACAGTATTATTGACTGTATTCCCTGTGATATACTTTACATCCCCATGATTATTCTGTAATTACCAATTTGTAAAAGATACCTTTTTTTAAAAAAAGGTTAAATTATGATTCATACAAATAAAAAATAAATGCTATCAAAGATTTTATCATTTCATTAATTAATGAACTAGTAAAATGTTAAAACTAGTTCAAAAGAGACTTCAAGAAAGCATGTATACATAGGAATCAAGGAATGGTGATGCTCATGTACAAGAAGATGCACTAGTCTATTTATCAGGTCATCAGTCGTGTTCCACCAGACACAATTCACTTGATTTTCTGTGGACAGGAATAATTTACATTGTGTTAGTTTCATATACAATTTACAGATGTGCAAAATAACTCAAAGACAATAACAGGTAGAAATTGTCCAGAAAGGTGTTCTTGCCAGATACTCAGTGATATTTCAAGATTTACAGCTTTTCCTGACAGTTCCCCACCTCCTGTCCTTGTGATCATAACAAACTTTCAAAAGTAAAATATAGTCTCTGCTTCAGAGAAGCAGAAGGATGCAATTTGTTTTTATTTCAATTACTGTGCACTTTATGTGTCAAAACTTCAAATCCCACACATGATTGACGTTGGGCAAAGGTGTATTGAAAAAACAAACTATTTCCGGAAAAAGAATGAAAAAAGCAACACTCTTTAGAAAGGGTTTATAAATTACTGAAATGCATGTTATTCTCTTTACCAAGGCGAAATATCTAGTGAAAGAACTCATTTGCTTTCTGTAAAATATTAACATTTAAGATAATGAGCATATAATCAAATGCCAAAGGTTTTGTATGAACAATCATCTATTTCACTTCCTGAAGCAAAGTCATTGATAATCTATACCAATGGGAAATGACTGAATCTGCTTGAACAAGAAGGTTTGAACTAAATTGTTCCTGCGCTTTTGCTACTAAGAATACTGTTCAGACCCACCACTTAGGTGGTAAGAATTAGGAATGTTGTACTTTGTGCAAAAAGGGATTTTATTCAAGCCCTGTGATTTGGAAGGGCTGCAAGGAAAACAAAGGCACTGTGGTTAAACCAGGCTTCAGTTCATGTGAGGAGGAAGAGTGAATGTTTTGGGTGAAGGTCAAGGATGTAGATAAATATGTTCCCAACAAAATGTCTGTTTCAAATAGCTGGAGAAGGTATTAAGGGGGTGAGGATGGCTAATAGGATGGGAGTTCATGTCAGGGAATGGATAGGGCTCATCAGGATTGTATGAAAATAAAGGAAACAATACCAAGAGGGAAGGATAGAGTAAAAGGGAGGTGGCAGTACTTAGAGTGCAGGAAAGAAATGTCAAGGCTGAAGAATCTACATGGTGTGCAAAATAATACTAGTTCCATCTAATATTTGCATAACACTTTCCGATTCACAGGCGTGTTCTTGGCATCTGTGGCATTTAATACCAGAGCCAGTCATTTTGGAGTCATTATTATTATTCCTTGTTTATAAATGAGGAAATTAAGGCTCAGGGAGATTAATTGATTTGCTAAGGCCACCATACTAGGAAAATCAACAGCGAGGACTTGAACCCAGGCATGCTGCCACCATGTCCAGTGATTTTTTTTCCTGTCTCTATTAGAGTGTTTACACCTAAGGAATTAGGTGAGGGAATGACTGACCAGTTCTAAGATGTCTGTTTTAGCTGTGTTGTGAGGGCCTACCCTTATTCAAGGCCAGTCTTGGCTGAAAGACATTCTTGTTGATTCATACCTATTGGGGATTTCACTGGTGGACTGAGGTTTACTCTGTACTGAACCAGAACTTCTAATGAGCTTGAGAGGTGAAAGAATAGCAAAATGTTAATCAACCAGGCAGATAGAATGAGAATGCAGAGCAATTTTTCATTTTACTCTGAGTTAGGCCTTAGTAGTGGGGTTCATTCTTTTGTGGGAAGGTTTGTGTTCCCAGATTATCAATATTAGGTTGTAAAAGAAAGAAAACATTCTACAGTTTGGTAAAAATTACATTGAAATGATCCCCTGCTGTAGATGATTTGGTTGGGATTTTTCTTTATATTCATAAACACTCATGCCTCAACATAGGTTTTTATTTGCTAAAGGAGGTCTTTCCTGATAGCTTCGTGCAATCTGCAGAGATTTTCAAGCCATTACTGTCAAGTTCAATACCCGCGCTGTTCAGTACAGTAGTTACCATATGTGGCTATTGAGCACTTGAAATGTAGCCATTCCAAGATTAGATATACTATAAGTGTAAAGAACACACTGAATTTCAAATACTTCGTACAAAATAAAACGTGAACCAAGTCAATATTGATTGTATGTTGAAATTATATTTTCTTAGACATATTAGGCAAGATATATTATTAAAATTAATTTCACTTGTTTGTTTTTACTTTTTTTTAAAAAATGCAGCTCCTAGAAAATTTTAAGTCACACATGAGACACATTATATTTCTATTTTTCAGGGCTAGTCTAGAGGTAAATGAAGTCAGCTTGTTTAGTGTGAATTCAGTAAAGGCCATACACTATCTCCAAGAAATTGTCTCATCTAGCTTTCAAATTCCAGATAGAAATTAACTCTTTTTGAGTTCAGTCAAATAAGTCTTTGCCCTGATTGCTACCACCACTCAAAATGCAGATTTTCCCCAGGAAAAGTAGCACATTTACCTTTATGTTTTCTAGGCTTGGACTCCTAAAGCACCATTTACTTTAGTCATATGGAACTATTTGCAGTTTACTGAGAAAATCATACTATACCCCGTCTTCATTCCTGTGCTCACTACACACTGTTCTGAAGAACTCCTACTTGTTTTTCACAACACAGCTCAAAAGTTGCCTTCTCAGGAAAACAGCCCTGACTTCTCACTATGATGTACGTAGCCCTCTGCTGTGCTCCCCCACTATGCCCATATTTGCCTCTTTCATAGAACATTTTGCATTGCACTGTGATTGTAGAGGGGCTGATCTGTCATCCTTCTAGACTGTAAGGTCCTTAGTATTTTTATTTCATTTTATTTCTGCAGCACCTAGTACAATAGCTGGTACTTAGTTAGTTTTCCATAAATGTATATTGAATTAATAGGGGGGAAAAGATCAAACTGATAGATTTGCAGCTGCTCCTGGGTTCATGTTTTCTTTTCTCTTTCTGGTTTTCTTCTCATGTTCATCACCCACTTTTTAACATATAATTTTATATTTTGAGGCTGTTGGTATTTATGTTAATCACCTGAGAGTCCTGTCATTTAAACTTTTTTAAAATTTATTTTATTGTTGAGAGTATTAT